TTCACAGTCTAATTTTAATCGACTTCAATATCGAAAAGAGGAGGTTATATGTATGAAAACGATGTAATTTTCTGATTTTATATGAATATGTCAATATAGTGATAGACTTAGGAAAGGATATTTTTTTTATGTGCTCGCCATATTTTTTCCAATATGTAAATCTAAACTCATATTAAAGAGAGAAAAGATTTAATTACTTACATAAAAAAATACATAACCGTTGAACATAGAAAATCCTCCTTCCGAATTTTGAATAAATACAATAAATACGTAATGTTTTGTGTTTGCGCTGATATAAACTAAATATGTATAGGTATAAAAGATATTTGATAAAAAGCATATTTTGTTTTGTTATAAAAAGAAAACTACTGATTCAATTTCAATAAAATACTAAACCTCCTTATAAAGCTGCCGAATAAAAAAATAAGTTTGTAAACCGTTCAACAATAGAGATAACGACTGGGTAGAAAAAAGAAATTCTATTATTTTTTTACTTAAATTTACCAAGAAATATCTTAAATAACAGGCGTTAAAGTTGAGAATCGGGGACTCGCTACGTCACAAGAAGAAAATGTACCATAGCGTGGCGTCATGACATTTTAACGCAATATCACCGTAATTTAATGATTATGAAAAAAATCAAAAATTTGCGTTTAAAGATTAGTCGTCATCCCTATTGGGGGAAATATCGGTGAACATACATAAAAAGTCTTTTCGATTTTGAAGTCGGTTAAAAAAAAGTGATCAAATTGAAGTTAGTGCATGCTGGTAAATACCGCTGTTCTTATATAGTACTAACTCTGTTAATTGATCTTACTTACTAACGAGGCGGATGAGTCTACCAACTCCACTATCTACAATGCGTGGGTCAGTAACTCTCATTTGTTTGACTCACTAACAAATTGATGGTACGTTTGTTATGCAATTAATTTCTATTTTTAGCCAATCGGTTGTTTCATTCCGATCCGTCGTATCCCAAAAAGGAGCAAAACCAAATTATGAATACTTTTTATAAGATGTGTGTAGTTAGGAACAATAATAAAAATATCTATATTTTATTTTCTATGGGTTTCAAAATAAATTTTATCAGAAATATATCATACAATTGTTAAAGATGGTTTGATTTAGTATCATTGTTGAAAATTTAAAAAAAATAGGCTCTCTTTTTAACCTTTAGCGAGATAAAGTGTATGTATCTTTTAATTCATTGCAGGGGATGAATTCTTTCCACTAAATTTCATAAAAGAAAACACTTTAGTATTTTTTGATTATACTTTAGCTAAAGCTAAAGTCGAGAGAGTTTCCATTGATTTTTTACTCAATTGCATTTTCTTCTTCCTAAGCGTACATTAAGTGTTAACTGGGCTATCCTAGTTAACACTTAATGTACGCTTAGAGTACGTATCTTAATCATCATAGGATGGTCATCGTTTTAGTACACCATACCTCACAGCCAAAGTCACCCCCTTGGGAAAACCTTTCTAGATACGAGTACAGCCATGTACGCGCTGTTATGTTATGTTATATCTAATACAACTAATTAAATAGTAAACCCTCGCTAAATACACTTGATAATAAACGATTAGCTTGACGTTTTAAACCCAACCTTTGAACCTTGTACGGGAATCAGCAGACAGTACATCATTAAATAGACACAAGCGCATAGGTGGTGGTTTAAACCATGAGCATGCATGTAATTTAATTGTTGCGACAATTTCAGTGTTGTGAGTAAACTTAATGATATATAATATCAAATCTAATCACATATAATTGCATGTGTTAATAAGTCCTTTATGAAGTTGCGATATATGAAATATTTTATATATATTTTTCTATAAATATGGTGGAGTTTTCTCATATTTTAACGTCATTTCTATTTATAAAACCAGTAGAAACCAGTATATTACGTAAGTACCTAACAAAATGGCATTAGTATATCAGTCCAATTATAAGAGAAAATAATTGCTATTGTAAAAACACTGCTTTGTTACAATATATACGTACGCCACTGTTGAAGTGGTACACTAACCACTATATTTTGTATCGTGTTAACTCCTTGATAAAGCTTTAGAACTTAACGAGGCTTAGATAAGGCTTATTTAAACAGGCGCTCAACTATACGACCTCATATTGCGACATGTATTGCATCAAGGATGCGATTAATTTCTGAAATTATTAGTTGTGATAAGTAATGTGATGTTATTTGACCTTGACTACAATTTGGTGGTAAAAACATGTCATTTTGCTACCGCGGGCGGACCACAAACCTTCACAGTGACAATGGCGACTTTGTAACCGACAATAAGGTGTGGCGAATTGAGGGTTTTATTATCCGTGCGTACAAAAGGTTTGTTTACATTTTCGGTTATATAATTTCGAATCATTTGTAAGAACTCAGAAGTGCAGATATAGGTTAAGTTTAGTACTACACAGTTGTATTGCAAGTCCGTATTTAGATAAATATAGGTGAATATTTTAGGACCTAATTAAAAAAAAAAATGTTGTCTATAGTTCTCATAGTACATCGCTCTGACAAATATCGGCAAAATTGAAAAATAATTTAAAAATTAATACAGACGACTTACAAAATTGCTACTAAAATAAAAGAGTCAAGTTGTCTTATGAGTTATGACATGTTTAAACGAATTCCAATACTTTTAGGGCGCTTGTGCACTACACTGAATTTTCATGTCCGGCGGTCCGATTTTTTCAGGTCCGATATGTCAGGCCATATGTAGGTAATGCGTGCTTGTGCACTGTCAGGATTTTTACCGTCCGGAATTTTACTTTTCTCTATTCCGGACCGGTTTTTTCAGGTCCGTGATGGCGGCAATGAAAAACGTGTTTACGCTTGTGCACTGCTGTGTCCGAGATCCGGAAAATTCATAAGGAATAGGCTTGGGAAAAAATAATCGATTTGAATCGATATTTATTTTGGCAATATTGTTAATTTCCAATAAACTATAATCGATATTTATTGTTGATTCTAAAATGCTATATTTTATATGATGATTTAATATAGTTGGTATATATCACTGCATATGCTTTCTTCTTCTAAAGGTGCCTCTCCAACTAGTGAAGGTTAGCGATTAGCATGTTCAGTTCCTTCTTGTCTTTAGCTCGGCGGAACAGCTCAGCAGCGCTCGCTATCCCGGTCCACTCTCGGATGTTCCGCAACCACGACTTCTTCCTTCCTCCTCTTTCTCTTTCCCGCAACTTTGCCCATCATGATCAGCTGCAGGAGATCATATCTCTGATGTATGCTTTTGCTTTGGCAAACTCGGTATAGTTCTAATTTGATCAGCGTATGGTTCTAGTATCGATACTTAGCTAGATTTTAGAATCGTATTAAAAGTATCGATTATAGCTTAAGGTAAGATTAATAAGTGTTGTTACGCTTAGACGCCTAAACAACTCAACCCATCTAAATGGAAATTAATATAGTAAATAGACTTAACTTTAAGAAAGGACATAGGCTACATTTTATCGCGAAAAAAAGGGGATGAAAGTTTGCCTGGAAATTTGTCATTATTAAATGTTTTTTAGACAATTGATAAGTATAGATAAATATTTGACAACAGAAGTAATAATAAAGAATAAACAGAAGATTAACAAAAGTAATTAAGTGACACTCAATGTCTTTTTCGCATTTAATAAAATTTTAAATGTATGTTTGTGTCATTAATAAATTTTAAAAAAAGAACTATTCTAAGGAAATAATATTTCTGCTCTAAGAAACTACACCACGCGTAGAAAATTATGCCTATATATAATAAAGTCAACTGATCTCGTAAAGTTCATTTAGCGTAATAATTCTCCGCTAACACGGCACTAATTTCGATTTGTTTACGAAATGGCGCCACCAATTGGTCTATCTCTGTAATCGCTGAAAGTTTTTACAAAACTTCGAAAAAATAGCACGTTTAAAAATTTAAACATAAAGTACTAGACCATTATCAGTAATTTTATTCTAATGTCACAGATATTTTTAGCTATTGTATGTGAATAATGCTGTTCCTAAATTAGTAAGGGTATAAGTTTTTACATCTGATAGTAGTCATCCGATAGTAGTAAAAAAAATGCTTTCATCTTGCCATAATTTATTATGGTTTATGTAAAACGCTCAGATCATTATTTAGGTACCTTTCTACGTCTTCGAACGGAATTACCGCCGTTCTAAAAATCTCATCGTACCTAGCGTAAGTATCGTGTAGCTTCAAAGAGAGCTGCCCTACACTGCGCCGCTCCGATCAGGAAAAAAACGGACAAGTGCACAAGCTACTCATCCGAGTTTTTCATGTCATTCCGGACCGGAAAAAATCGGACCGCCGGACCTGAAAATTCAGTGTAGTGCACAAGCGCACTTACTCTTTGCAAAATTCATATAGCAGTCTGAAGACTACTTTTATTCACATTATTAATGTTTCACAGAACGGTCAATTGCACTGTGAATATTGTTTAGCCAAGTCAAACATCTTGTTTCTTCAATTCAATCTCTAATCTTATTTTTTTTTGTAATTTCTTGATACATTACGGTAAAACCTCTCTGCTATGAGAGCGCTGGGTTCAACGACGATTTCCAGGCTATTTTTATAACAGATATCCTAACATGAGTAAAGGAGTAAGTAATTTGTTGTAACATAACCAGAATTGTTTCATTTTGGTGAATGAAGTTAAATATTAATTTGACAAAACAAAAGACGAACGAGGTATATAAATATGACATTTTGCAAAGGTACAAAATAGTTTAAAAGATCTCAGCGTACAGACAGCGGGAAGTGACTTGGTTTTATACTATACGTTGATTATGGGGAAACGCAGTGCTAAAAGAAGGCGACATTGTTGGCTTAAGAATTCAAGGGATAATAAGTGTGGTCGAAGCATTCCGTCCCTGTTCCTAGTAGCAGCCTGAAAAATAAGATAGCTATGATGCTGTCCACCGTCCGATAGGAGTGGCATATAAAGAAATAGATGCTGATGTAGCTTCGATATCTACTCACCATTGTCAAGGTTGAGCTCAGCAGCAGCACGCCGTGCGTCTGCAGTTGAAATGTCATGTTCAACGAAATATTCTTCGTAGCGGACTTCTAGTAAGTTGTCTTCGCCGGCCCACTGCTCGGAACCATTATTTGCGCGACTAGAATTTGTGCGCCCTGTGCCCACCGGTTTCGATGCGGCGGCATGACGGACCTATAATGTGATATTATTGTAGAGTTCATCATCAGCCCTTTTACGTCGCCACTGCAGGGGATCAGGCCTTTCTTATGGATGGTTAAGGAGGATGGGCCATGACCCTCCACGCTGGTCCAATGCCTCAATGCCTCAAACTTTTTAGAGTGTGATTTATCTGTAGTCGGGTTTTAGTTTAAGCCACCATAGTAAAGCCATTTCCATCAATCTCTTAGTTTCTTTAACTAGGTATAGAACATCAATATTAATAAATTTAACATATATTTAATAACTTTAAGTAAATATTAGTATGTGGTTTTTTTATTGATCTAATACAGAAATGGAGGGACAACCCACAGACTTCGATAGACTATAAGAGTTCTATTTGTGTTTTCACTCACCAGCACCTCAGGGACCCTGAAGATGATATCGTCGGCGCGCGCGGCCAGCAGCGGCCCGAACACAGCCGCCCAGAGCAGCGCGCGCCGCACCGCCGCCATGACATCTCAATCTCACCACACAGTCGAGCAGCACCTATACACAACAATTTTCTTCGTCATGGCCGGATCTAGGCGGAGGGGCAAGTGGGGACATTCTTAGTCAGTTGCACAAACATCCATTAAAATTGTCATTAGTTTAAAGCCACAACACCCATACACATTTGACATTCATTTAAGGCGTCATTAAACGTTAATGGACGTTTGTGCAACTGACTGTCTAACTTCCAGCAACTAAAGAATAAAAGTCTAATTAGACTTATTTTATTACAATCAGTTTTCCTGGATTATTATAGAGACAAGTTATACGAGTCTATGGCTTTAATTAAGTATAAGCTCAAAAATTCCATTGAAGATAGCGCCATTGATACGAAAGGATATTGTGGTCGAGCATTGACATAAGAGCTTAAATCATGAGTGGAATAAATGATTCCGATTTCATTATGGTGTTTGCGAACGAATTGCGATAATACGTTGTAAAGGTAGTAAGTTAATAATATCAGATCGCAATAATAAACCGAGTGAGGTGGAAGTAGATTTTGTTTCGTTTTTTAAGGTTTTACTATTAACTTTCACAATTTAGGTTTGAATAATTGGTGTTCGTAAAAAAGGAAATTGAAATATTTTAGTATGCCTAGTCTCTGGCTGGGATATTCTTTAGAAAATATATATTTTTCTAGTATGCAAATAAAATGTTCAGCTTTGGGATATTTTGATTAAATTATTTTAGCTTCCTTCACCTTCCATGAGAAACATTCACGTTATTACAAAACAGAATGAAAATCTGTTTAGTAGTTTTCGATCGATTACGTTGATTCAAACAGAATTCTATATTATTGAGTAAGGTTTTTCTTCGCAATAGCTCATAATTCGAAGTATCTAAGCCGCAGGGTTTCTCAGGAAGTTTCTCCTAATATCACGTAATGTATGCGCTCAATATTGTATCTCAGATCTCGCAACGATTTGCATTAAAGACAATAATTGCAAAATACTTCCACGTATCAGTGATCCACCCAGTTCAGTGAAGTCAGCCCATTAAGTATTCATATTCATGCAGTTAGCATTCCTGAACAGTGTCCACCGTGTTGGATAATAGCTGTGATAATAGCTTATCGAGGACCTCGATAAGTGGTAGCGTAGCTCAAAATATCAGAGAAAGTCTTGGAAGTAGCGCCAGAAATCACCTCTATGATTCTTAAAACGTTAGCTTGACGCAAAATTGTTCTAAATAGTTGTAGTATACTCATTTGTATGCTGACAGTATCATCGCTATGCGCACCGCATCGGTCAAAGATACTCAAGAATTTGTTAGGCACAGCTTGACTGAACTAGAGAAATTACTCGACTCAATTAACCAAGTGTTATTGCTGAATTTTGCACTCACAATACGTCTTGGACCCGATGAATTTTAAAATGTATATATTCTAAAATAACGCAATGTAAATAACTAATGTAAAAGAATAAGAAGCTTAGCTATCTTCTTACTCTTCGTATACTTACGTATACGACATAATTTATTAGCAGATCAGTCGCATATTGATTAAGTTGTTAAAAGCAGAAGTATATATAATTAGTAGATATTGATCTGAATTATTGTTCACAAACGTATAAAAAATAGTTAACATTTTGTTACGCTGAGTCGTTCTTACATCAGACAATTTGCTATTGTATGATTACTATCAAAGTAAAAATATTTTGAATACTATAAGATCTTGGAGAACGTTGTACGTTGTTGAATAATTCCATTAGCATGTATATGGTGGGTTTCTCTACACATTGATTATTATTTAGTCAATTAAATTAATACACGCTTTTGAAGGAAAAATAATTTCGTTTTACTTACCATTTAAAGTCATGTACCTCAGAGCCGTTATAAATAAACGTTTGGTAAATTTATAAATGTGCACACGACAGACTTTTTTTATTCATAATACGAGGTAGAAAATAATATAAATAATTTTATTAAAAAATAACTGACCTGTTGACGTGACCTAAAATATGGCGTATTTATATTATAACACAAGTTCTTAAGCTCTTTAGGATCTTATCGATAGTAGAGTATCTATTCGAATGTTTCCTAATATTTATCCATTTCCAAATGTTTTGATGCCAAGGACTTGAAAATCTAATTGTGTAGACATAACAAAGGGTTTTAGTTATTACTTCGCAAATAATTCCAGTAGCAAAGTGTTGTACGATATAAAATATGAGATTTAAACCATATTGTAGTGAGCTGACATCAAAGAGGCATTGATGCGGTTTGAGATTTACGTATCTTTGTAACACGCGTAATGCTAACAAGAAAAAGACTGACTGTGACGAAATGAGAATGGTTTACGTTTTCTCATTCTTTCTCGTAAAGTATAGAGACTGTTTGTTTATGTGATCGTAATTGGCTTTGTGGCAGCGAATTAAATAATATTTATATAATGAGGCCACTCTAATGAAAATTCATAACCTAAATCTAATTACCAGATAAAATTATCTGTTTAAAGTATAAAATCAAATGAGCGTTTAAATATTTTTTTAATTATATGTTGTTTTAAACTTCCATGCTCATTAACATCAGATTTTTTTATGAGTTTCCGATATTTGTGAGCTAAAACTCATAAAATATAAGGTATATTGTTAGAGTCTCGTTTTTAGCAATTATTCTTTGAAAGTTACCTTACTGAGTCCATCTTTGACTAAAGCACTTCTTGAAAACGTTGATATAAAATCGTAAATTTTGAAATAGGTACAATATCGCTCAATCAATTAAAAGTTTAATATGTATATGTCTTTCCGCTGTTTAGGTAAATTGCCTAAAATTTTTGATATTTCTGCGCTCATTAGCATTTTTAAGTATTTTTCTATATGATAAACAATAGTTATTTCCTTTCTTAGTCGGCGTAGTGAACTACAGGTACATTATAACAGAACAAAGGCGAACGCATATGATAATAATTTTGATAACAATAATTATACGAATGAATAGCTCGAATGAGTTTTTTTATACATGGTTGACATGAAAAGGAAATGCAAATGAATTGTAAAGTTCGTTTGTGGGTCAGTGGGCCCCTCCTTAAGGGCCGGAAAACGTGTGACTACGCACGTACTTAAGATTTACATTTAGGACCGTTAGAAAAGTGCTACGATGCACAGCACTCGCGTCAACGGTATGTTGCAAATACTTTACCTATATAAAAACTATTGTTTTCTATATCTCATTTTTTTATTACCTTTAGCTACAACCTTTAGTACAAATTTAATTGTATAATGTGAACATCTCCTAATATCTACTAATTGTGATTAGTATGAAGTTTTTATTTGTTCCTATGAGTCTAACCAAGCGAATACTTATAGTATAAAATGGGGTATCTGTCATGTTAAAATTTTCAAGTTTCAGAATTTATTCACTATCAAAGTAAACGGCAAATAGTGTCCACATTTATAATTTTTTCATAATAGACTATCCGAACCTATCGTTTCTTCATTTGAAATTCTTAAAATCCTTAATACGTTGAAAATTAGATCATTTTTAGGTATACATTTCATATTTTGCGTTGTCCATGTGCTGATGAATCTATACATGGAAATTAAAGGTGTGATTTTCACATACATACTAGATTAAAATAGGTAGTTACTCAAAGAATAACCACCTATTCTAATCTCGGATATTATTACGCTCAGCTTTGAAGTTTTGAAAAAAGATAATGGAATACCCTTGAACCATTTCTAAACCACGAATCAATAGTTCTCCAATTCTTTTTATAGTGTGCTCCCGTTTTATTCGTAATCAATAGTGAGTCACGTTTTACGGGACCCCGATTTATGGCGTGTTAACGACTGGTAGAATTGGACTTGAGATAAGTGCTGTCAAGGTCAGAAATAATCGGGATTTTTATGGCACATCCATATCAAAGATATATCTACGTCAATAACGCCTCGAATGTTATATATTGGCATATAAATGTTGGAAAAAAATAGGCAGCATAATATGAAGTGTTCATAATTGCATGTAAAAAATTGTAAATTCTAATATAATTTATTTCAACAAGTTTCTTACTGTTTTAAAGATTGTTAATTATTATATATCGTTTTCGGCAGTGTATTGGCTATAATATAAGCACTATCTATATTTAAGCACTTTATATATCTATATTTAATGACTGTTTGTGCCAAAATAAAGAGAAAAAAATAAATAAAAAGATCAATTGCATCCGTTTTTCGATATAAACCATTTCTGTTATTATTTACCCGCGACTTCGACCAACGGTCGAAAGCATAATCTCTGGTGCAATGTAAAAAAAGAGCAATTACAAAAATTTTATTTCAAGACCGACTTTAAAAACTATAGTTTTTTACTATACTTCATTGATACCTAAGTATAATATTTATACTCGTAACTACTAAATAAGGCATTATTTTATATTATTTATAAAAAGATTCAATGACAATAGGCGTTGTATGCGGTTTATGTGGCGTTGATGGTTAAAACAATACAACAGATTACAGTGCAATCTATACTAATATTACAAAGAGGTAAAGTTACTAAGTTTGTTTGTTTGTTAACTAGTCTTCGAAAATATTTATTCGATCATGATAGTTGTTTGAGCCATGCGAGTAACATAGGCTATAATAGAGGCGAGCAAAATCGCGGGTAAACATCTAATAGGTGCAAATGATGGGAGTAAAATAGAGGTAATGTGTATAATTAATCATTAACAAACAACCACAAAATTAAGTTTTGTTTTATTTAGGGTTCCGTGTAACTTTTTGTTTACAAAAGGGTTAAATCAACGTAGATTAAAAGAATTCATTATTTATACCTTTAAACTTTTTCGCAAAACTTCTAAATATGCCGGCTGAAAACCTTTGCAGTATAAGTATGTGGCTAACCATATAATTATCAGCCCTTTGCTTTCTGCCTACGGTACGAACGGTACAGATAGGTTTTGATTTTCAACTGCATTTTTTGACATAAACATTTCCTACTTGACCACGAGTAATGGTCTATGGCT